ACACATTAAGAGTGTCTCGCGTTTTTTCAAATCTTAGAGGATTTCGTTGGAACAGCATAGGACTTAAGGGTGTATCGGATAAAGGGAATGTTGTCGAAGCCTTGTTCTGTATTTAAAAATAAATCTTCACTTTGAGTTGTGGGGGCGGGAGCCAATGCGACGTGCTTAGTGGATGCCGGATATAACCGGCGCTAGCAAATGTGAAGCATTTAGCGGATGCCGGATATAACCGGCGCTAGCAAGTGTGAAGCATTTAGCGGTTGCCGGATATAACCGGCGCTAGTCGCGAAAGGGTTAATTTAAGAGGCATTTTGGTTTGCACAGTGTTTGAATTTATTTTACTTGATTTTTATACCGATAGCTGTATAAATTGTTTCTGTTATTAGGCTGAAATTACAGAATTTTAGAAATGATTACAATAGAAATTTCAATTTCACGAGAAGGAATATTTATTGCTACATTTAACAAACAATTTTTCATCGTGCAAATTCATTTCTAAGGGCTGAAACCGTCCTCTTCGGTATTTCTTCGGAACTCTTCTATTTTCTTCTATGCACCTCGTCAACCGTGAACGACAGAGAAGAACCACTTTACAGAGTAGAATTGAATTCGCGAGAATACCAGAAGAATCGCGTTTAAACAAAAATTCCTCCTCGAGAACTTCTTTAGAATTGAATGGTAAAAAATGGACAAAAAGTACGTATCGATATTCGCTGTTTCTGTAATAGTATCGATTCTCACGTAATACCGATCGACTAACGTAATCTTGACCGAATTTTTAATTAATCAGATCGATTAAGTTACTCGAGAAATGAAATACTCGAGAATATTGCATCTGGAGCAACTGCAGAGGGTAAATTCTAGAAGTTGTGGGAATATTGCGATACATTATGCGATAAAAGTTCCCAGGCTCTAAGTTTAGAAGTTTATTGTGGTGAAATCTTTGGTCGCTAGGGCAATTATTACTCAATTAGTACTCACGTTCCTCTGAGAAATATATTTGTCGAATATGTGTCGACGAATGAACTCACTATAAGATAAGCAGACTTTCTCGAGTATATTAATTCAGATAAAAAACGTATGAATTTTTTAATTTACGGAGAAAAAAATGTTCCGGTATGCAAATCAAAGGTTTGTGCAATCTAACTTCGGGAACTTTTGTTACACGCTGTACTTGCAAGCAGAAAAATACGAAAAGTTTGGGAAATGTGAAGTGTCTCTGGAAACACTTTCGTTGTAATTATTATTATTAACAGAGATAGAGAGGCGTACAACTCGTTGAAACTAGACTGAAATAGAAATTTTTCTCTTAATTATGCGAATTTAAAAAGAAGGAAGAAGAAAAATTGAATTCTTCAGTATTAACCCTTTGAAATCTGAGCAACTTTTCCTCGATTTTCCTAATTTCCTTAATTCTCACTTGGAAGTCTTAAAAAAAAGAGAAAAAAATAAATTCCACCGAGTT